TATATAATGTGTATTATATAAAAAGCAGTAATGAAGGAAAAAGGAAGAAAAAATAAATAAATAAATAAATAAATAAATAAATAAATAAATAAATAATGTTTGCCAAAGAAAGCAATAAAAACAACGAATATATACAAATAAATAAATAAATAAATAAATAAATAAATAAATAAATAAATAAAATAAATAAATAAAATAAAATAAAATAAGATAAATAAAATAATAATAAATAAAATAATAAATATTTAAGGAAAAAAAAACAAAAATAAAAAGAATTATTTTATATAATTAATTAATTAATTAATTAATTAATTAAATTAAATTAATTAATTAATTAATTAATTAAATTAATTAATTAAATAAAGGAGGTAATTGTCTGTTGATTAAGTATACATAACAGCAGACGCAAAGACAAACAATTATTTTCTCTTTGCTGTTGCTGCTGCTGCTGCTGCTGCAGTTGCTGCAGTTGCTGCTGCTGCTGTTTTATTTGATCTTCTATACACAGCAGCAACAGCAACAGCAACAGCAGCAGCAGCAGCAGCAGCCGCACGCAACGGAGACCGTTGCTGCAGCTAGCTGTAGCTAGCTGCTGCTTATTGTTGCAGTTATCCGTAGCTAGCTGGTAGCTGTAGCTAGCTACCACTAGCAGCTTGCTGCATGCAGCAGCTAGCTATATATATAGCTAGCTGCTGCTGCTTGCTGCAGTTAGCTAGCTAGCTAGCTAGCTAGCTGCAGCAGGAGGATTATTATTTATCCTCAATATGTAAACCCTACAACAATAAGTACCATCGCCTTTATATATATAACCCTTCTTATGGCTAGCTAGCTAGCTAGCTAGCTAGCTAGCTATATATAGCTAGCTATAGAGAGAGGCAGCTAGCTATATATAGCTAGCTATAGCTAGCTGCAGCTAGCTAGAACAATTCCTATGAATACCAATGGCATATAGGCAGACGCGTATACACATTGTGTAAACCCTAAACCCTAATCGCTAAACCCTAAACCCTAATCGCTAAACCCTAAACCCTAATATAATAAATACAATTATATAAATATTTATACTCCAAACCCTAGAAATAACTCTTGCTTCTCAACTGTAGTACTGGGGGCTACGGGGGGCCCCCCCGGGGGGCCCCCCCCCCCTGAGCATGGGGGCCCCCCTGACAGTGGGGTTGTAGGGTATAAAGGTGTTTATTCTGTGTAAACCTTTTAATAAAAAAAAGGGTTTATTTATTTGTATTAAATTATATAAATAAATAAGAAATAGGGGCCCCTAGAAGCATTATATATGGCTGCAGCTGCAGCAGCAACAGCAACAATTGCAGCAAAGACAGCAAGTGCAGCAGCTGCTGCAGCAGGAGCAGCAGCAACAGGAGCAGTCGTTGCTGCCCCGGGCTTTTTGCTGCTTTTACCGTTTTTGTGTTGGCATTTTCTCCTTTTTATTAGGGAGGTTTTAAGGTGTCAGGCAGCAGCTGCAACAGCAGCAGCAACCGCAGCAGCAGCAGCAGCAGCGGCAGCAGCAGCAGCAGCAGCAAGTCCTCAATGTTTTGTATGAGGCCCTGACACTGCCGATTACAAATCTTTTTTTTGTATACCGAGGGTATATGATTCTAGATGTTAAGGCTAGGGTTTAGGGTTTAGGGTTTAGGGTTTACTGGTTAGGCCTGGGCCCCACCCGCAGAGGGCCCTCACCCCCCCGCCCTAGCCTAATGCTACTGTCTGTGGAGGCGCAGCAGCAGCAGCAGCAGCAGCAAAAGCTGCATAAACAACCGGAGCTGCAACAGCAACGCCAGCAGCAGCAGCAGCAGCCGTAGCAGCAGCAGCAGCAGCAGCAGCAGGTAGTGTTAGGCTATCTTTAGTTCTTTATACATCTTATAAGATGAACAATCCGACAGACATTCATGATACCCACGAGAAGGGGCCCCCCCAAGAGGGTAGCGGGGGGCCCCCCAACGTGGGTACTGGGGGGGACCCCTTGGGTACTGGGGGGCCCCCCTTGGGTACCGAGGGCCCACTATCAAGTTTAGAGAAGCCGCGGTCTCTCTCCAATAACGAGGAAGAGGGGCCCCCTTCACCTGCTGCTGCTACAGAGGGGCCCCCACCCGCCGAAGAAGCTGTTGTTCTAGGGGGGCCCCCAGAAGCAGCAGCAGTAGTTTTAGGCGGGGCCCCCCCAGAAGCACCAGCAGCAGCAGCAGCAGACGCAGCAGTTTTAGAGGGGCCCCGAGGAGCAGAAGCTCACGAGGAGGCACCCTCACAAGTTGGGGGCCCCGTAGGGCCCCCACCGCATTCCGTCGTCTTGGGGCCCCCCTCCGTTGCTGCAGAGGGGCCCCAAGCAAAGGAAGAGGGGCCCCCACCTGATTTGGGGGCCCCTCAGAAAGAAATGGGAGAGGGCACCCCAAATCTTTTGGTGGAGGCCTCCCCGCAGCAGCAGCAGCAGCAGCAGCAGCAAACCCCTGAGGGCAGCGTGGGCCCCACTTCTCCGTCGGTGTGCCCACAGGGGCCCCCAGAAGGGAATCCGTCCGAAGCCAACTGCAGCAGCAACACCGAAAGCAAGAGCAGCAAATTGGAGCAGCAGCAGCAGCAGGGGCCCCCCATCGTGGATAGAGGGGCCCCTCAAGACACTGAGCGGCCTCCTGTGGTACCTGCGGGGCCCCTGCCTGTTGGGGGCCCCTTGTCTCCCTTCAAGGCACCTCTAGAGGAACAAAGACAACAGGGAGGGCCCCTCCAACGGGAGGGAGCCCTCCATCATGGGGGCCCCACGGAAGATGATGTGAGGGGCCGCCAAGCTGCGGGCCCACCCCAGGCAGCGGGGGCCCCCCAAGCAGCTGGGGCCCCCAAAGGTGAGGGGGCCCTCCTACACCGCAGCCACCATTTGGGGTTATATGGGGATTTGGGGGCCCCTAGGGGGTCTGCAGGTACCCCTTCTTTAGATAATAAAAAAGAAGAGGGTTTAGTGGGTACTAAAGGTAATAATACCCTTTTTTCTTCTCCTTCTCCTCCTGTAAACGAAGACATAAACACCCTCAAGACTGGGGCCCCTGTGGGAGAGGGGGCCCCTCGTACACAAGAGGGAGCTCCGGAGGGAAAGGGGGACCCCGAGGGAGAGGGGGCCCCACAACCTCAAGAAGGGGCCCCGGGGGGAGAAGGGATTCCGCACACTAATGAGGGGGCCCCTGAGGGAAAGGGGGCCCCTCAAACTAAAGAGGAGGCCCCTCAAACTAAAGAGGGGGGCCCTCAAACTCAAAAGGGGGTTCCTGAGGGTACTGAGGCCTTTGAGACCCGGCAGACCCTTGGGGGCCCTGGGGCCCCTGGGGCCCCTGGTGGCCCCGTTAAGACCCTTGGTGTTGCTGAGGGTACAGGGGCCCCTATGTCCGATTTTAAATCACCAGATGTTTCTTCTGATGGTGGGAGCCCCCATGGTGGGGCCCCCGAGGTGTTGTCTGTACCCGCAGAGGGGGCCCCGGAGTCAGCAGGTCATGAAGGAGCCACCAAGGAAGAGGGGGCCCCACCGGATGCACTTGGGGCTCCCCCGGTTGCACTTGGGCCCCCCCCGGTTGCACTTGGGGCCCCCGTGGCTTCTTTAAAGCCTCATGCTATTGAGGAGGCCCCCATTGCGGGGCCCCCTGAGTTGGCAACTGCTGCTGCAGCAGTTGGAGCAACAGCAGCAGCAGCAACAGCAGCAGCAGCAACAGCTACAGCAGCAACACCCGCAGCTGCCGCTGCAACAGCAGCAGCAGCTGCTGCATCGGAAGAAGCTGCCTCCGAAGCAAAGGGAAGACACGAAGGGGACCCTCAGGGGCCCCCCGAGGTATCCGCACAACTAGCACAACTAAGGGGGCCCCCCGAGGTACCTGTTGAAGGACCCTTAAAGGGTACTACTATTGAGGGGGGGGCCCCCGAGCGCATGCACCGTGCCACCGTACCCCGTGTGGGGTTTGCACTCAGCCAGCAGCTCCAGCAGCAGCGCCAGCAGCAGCGCCAGCAGCAGCGCCGGCAGCAGCGCCAGGTGCAGAAGGAGCAGCAGCAGCTGAAGCAGCAGGAACTCGAGCAGCAGCAGCTGGAGCAGCAGCAGCAATCCGAACAGCAGCAGCAGCAATCCGAACAGCAGCAGCAGCAATCCGAACAGCAGCAGCAGCCATCCGAGCAGCAGCAGAAGCAATCCGAACAGCAGCAGCAACAATCCGAACGGCAGCCGCAGCCGCAGCATGGGACGGACCAGCAGCAGCAGCAGCAGCAACAGCATCCACAGCAGCAGGAGGAGCAGCAAGAGCAGGAAAAACCGCCGCTGCAGGACAAGGAGGAGGAGCAGCAACAGCAGCAACAGAGACAGTTGCAACAGCAGCAGAGACAGGAGGAGCAAGAACAAAAGAAGCAGCAGCAACAGAAGCAGCAGAAGAAGCAGAAGCAGCAGCAGCAGCAACAACAGGAGGAGCGAGAACAAAAGGAACAGCAGCAACAGAAGCAGCAGCAGCAGCAACAGGAGGAGCAAGAACAAAAGGAACAGCAGCAACAGAAGCAGCTGCAGCAACAACAGGAGGAGCAAGAACAAAAGGAACAGCAGCAACAGAAGCAGCAGCAGCAACAACAGGAGGAGCAAGAACAAAAGGAACAGCAGCAACAGAAGCAACAGCAGCAACAGCAACAGGAGGAGCAAGAACAAAAGGAGGATCAGCAACGGAAGCAGCCGCAGCAGCAGCAGCAGCAGCAGCAGCAGCCGCAGCATACGGGCAGCGTGAAGGCTGTTTTTGCGGGCCTATGGAATCGATTGCGTTGGGGACAGGGGCAAGCGCAGCAGCAGCAGGAGCAGCAGCAGCAGCAGCAGCAGCAAGAGCAGCAGCAGCAGGGAGAGCATCATCACCTGCGTCGTCCTAGACGCGTGAGTGGATCCTTCGGACGCCCCAAGCTGCAGCAGCAGCAGCGGCAACGGCGGCAGCAGCAGGACAAGCAGCAGCAGCAGCAACCGCAACAGGAGGAAGAAGCGCAGCAGCAGCAAGAAC